CAGCGAAAAAGAGAGACCGTTGAAAGAGATATATAGTATAATAGAGTAAGTGTTAAAGCCCACCTGCCGGTGGTTACAGTGACAAGGCGTGCGCTTTTCCACACCGGTTCGGATCCGGAGGCTCTTCAACCACTTCGAGAGTCGTGGTCCGATTTCTAGATCCAATGGATCAAAACTGCCTTCTGTCCGGATTGGATCCATGGATCTCGATCCGCAGGGAAAGGCACGAGTCACTCGGAAAGACCACGTGGTCCTTCAAGTCAACGTGCCTGGACCCTTCTCCACCGGGTCCTTCCGCCGACAGACGGGTACCGAGGTCTGAGAACCGGCGCGAGTACAACCGCCGTGTGGCCGAGATCGTGGAGGAACGCTGCGCCTGTGGGTCGTCCGTAATTTGTCGTTTCCGACCGTGGGGGTCCAAAGGGACTGGATCGAAGCCAGCGGTGTTCTGGAGGTGCATCAATTTTTGGGTTCTGTCTTCTAGAGGCCTTTTCAACTGGTAGACGGGGGCGACCAGCTATAGCTCATAGAGTCACGGAGGTTTAGAAGCTTTTCAGTTTGTTTGAGTGTGTGGAACTATGCTTGGTTGTATTCCGGCTCATGCCACATGGATGCCCAAACCACCAAGTCTCTTCTATTTCAAGGCTGGTTCAGGTCTTCCTGTTGACTTGGTCGGACCAAGGGTCCGTTCACTTCATCCCGTTCAGGAAAGTTGGGCGGCGGCTGAAGCACTGGAGGAGGCTCCGAGATCTGGACGGGCGAACGGAAGATCGAGGTCAGAAGTATTTGGTTGGTCTCACTCTCAGAACATGTGGATGATCTTTTTTAATCAGAAGGCGGGTGCAGAGATTTCCCAGGAAAAGACAGGTGTCCGTGACATTGAAAGTGTGTTTGTTCCGTATACATTTCAAAAGGCTATGTTGGGGTCACAAGCAGTTGGTGCAGGCTTTTTAAAAAGGCAATTCCACCTGATCCAGACAAAGCAGCCTGACCTGGTAGGGGCACTTCCGCTTCCAAACTTCTGACACTTGAGAAACTGATCACCAAACATTCCTAACATCACCTGGTGTTTGTGATCTTTTTCCCGGCACGCGAGCAGGATGTGGACATGGCACCCCCACCTGCCAGCGCGAAAAGCTCGAAGTGAGCACGGTGAATCATCGCCGGCCACGCCGGAACCTCGTGTGGCACGCCACGTGTGGCACGGAGTCGGTCTCACTGAGTCGGGTCGCGCATCGATGGGCCGTGGGCAAGATCGAGTTGAGGGAGGCGATTATGGTGAACAGATCTTTTCAATCAAACTAAAGATTCTATAGATACTGTATCATTCATTACATAATATATATATATATAATCTTTCCCACACGAGATGGCCGTCAGTTTTTCTCAAGAAACGCAACGTGCCACATCAGTGGCCGCAGCAGGTCAGCTAACCAAAGTAGGGCACACTACGAGCGGTTGTGGTGCAGCTTTTCGCGTTTATGTTTGTGTCATCGTACATATCATATATGCACATATATACAGTATATATACACTGGGGTGCCGAAAGTTGCGCTTCTTGACTTCTAAAACGGACAAACCCTTTCCCCTTAGAATCCTACGTGCAACATGTCGACACTGAACGCCTTATTAAGTATTATAGATTTAAATGGGTGTGGAAATCTGACCGTGCTGTACCTGCCAGGCAAAATGGACGTGTCAATCCGATCCGCTGTAGACCGCAAGGGCTCTTGAAGTATACATATAATACAAGTGCATATTAGTGCATATGCTGAATGCGCTGGATGCCTGCAAAGTTGACTGAACATCATGAAAACTGATAAGACATTGGACACTGGGGATCCCCGGATTCAGTCCAGATGTTTATGACAAACTGTATGTGAAAACCGCTTGTCTTTCATTGTATTTTTGGGCCCCTTTGGCGAAGTGAGAAGAACACTATAACAATTGGGCAGGATGGCTGTTGAGCTGAGAGTCTCTACCCTCAATCCCTCAATACATGGCCAGTTTGGGAAGAGTCCATGATTTCTGGAGGGTAATTTCAGGTAATTGTTCTTTTTCAATCACATCATGCAACCAACAAATCCAAAGCAGAATTCTCCAGTCACCTGCATTTGACAAATTGTCCAACATGACCTTCGTTTCTGTTTCATTGGGAATTGACATTGAAGAATTGATCCACAGAATCCATCGTTTTGGAGAACAGATTGGATTCTCCAGGTCCTTTATGGATTTGTATGGTCAAAAGATGTGGAGAAGTGTCCTTAGTTTGATTATCACTCGTCTAGCATTGAGCAGCTCTAATACGGTGCTCCATCCGACCACCGTCCCGCACGCGGACGAGTCAATCTTGTTTGGACGGGTGTGGCCAGACCCTTGGCTGCACGAAGCTAGTGCCGGATGAGCCTTAAGCTGGAAGCCGAAGAGCTAAAGGTGCTAAAGCAGATGATCTGATGATCTTGGAATCAAATCATTGTATAACAGAACCATCACAGACTCCTGCGGTAATTCTGGAGTCCAGAGCCGGATCATTTGAATTCAGACCTGGGCTGTTGACTCTTCCAGACCTTTATTCCACAGCTGGACTTCGAGATAATCACTGACAGTGGTCTTGATGCAAACTCCCAGAACGTGATGAGATGAATATTTGATATGCTTCGGGCGTTAGTAACCGAGAGCCCTATGCTTCCAGGCTTTCTGTCTTGTGACTAAAGATGTTCAGTGGATCATGATGCCTGGGGTGCTTTTTCAATGGCTGTGAATGTTTGACATGGGCCAGAAAGAGACATGATTCTAATAGCAGAACTGAACAACACACACTGTACTGGCAACGCAAGTACTGTGCCAGACGGTTGACGCTTTGACCTGGAGACGGCGACGAACATCAGCTGTGTGGCTTTGGCGTGCGCTTCGGCTGGCGAGGCTTGATCCGTGTACATACTCCAAGGCCTGGTCACCAGGTCCACCGGGACGGAACGGACCCGAACCGACAAAAAAAGGTCGGAAGATGGTGCGGGTTCGGTTCGTGCTGGTGTGACGAGTAGACGGGGAAGAGACGAGTAGATGAGTAGAAGGGACGCTTGTTCGGACGTTTTTTTGGGGGTTTTGGGCCGAGAATCAGCCAGCAGGTTTGACCAAGGATTCACCCCAAGTGACTTAACAAAACAGTTTCAGCTAGTGCTTTTCAAGAGGCGGCTTAATTACTGTAAATACAACATAATACAGCCGCGCACCCGCAGGAGGCCTTTACCAATGGGTTTGTTGTACAGTCTACTTTGGTGGAAGCCACTTTCCATTTCTTCTCAGGTTCTTTCGCAGGTGGACCGTCGGTCAAAGGTTGGCCGGAAAGTCAGAAGATCCGGCCACCCCCAAACATCCAGAGACCAGAAAGGTGTTGTCCCTCTTGATTTGGGGCCTCAATGACTTTGGGCCAGTGAAAACGGCAATCAGATCTCAGGCAAAAAGGATCAAACCGGTTTTCAAGGGTGAAAACATGTGAATACTCACTCGACCCGGGTCAAGGATGTCACGGTCGCCCCCCGCAAATTCCTCAGCCTCGACGCCCTCTGCGCCTTCCGCACCTGGCTCAGCCGGCCAGATGGGCGCGGCGCGGCCGCGGCGAGCCGGTCCAGTGGGTCACTGCCGCCCCTGATGGGTGAGCATCTGATCGAAGGTGGCAGTTTGGGCCGCATGTGTGAGTCAGGGCGAAAGGTTTCGCTCCCCTTCCAATTTTTCAGGTGCTCAGCTACAGCTGAAGGCTTTTTTGGTTTCAACCAAGTATATTATTATATTATATCAATTATATATTATATATTAGTTGTCGGTCGTACCCCTTAAGAAGAGGAGTCTGAAAAAGGACGTGAAGCTCTGCAAGGGGTGAGCCTGTAAGCTGACTGGCTTCGTAGCCACGAATTTCAATTCGACCGCGCACGGGCACTCAGGGTCGTTTGCAATTGCTGTGGACTTGCTGAACTCGCCTCCGAAATGTGTGACAGTAGGTTTTGAGATAACTCAAACGAGGTCCAACTTGCATTTCTGCAGGTATTCTTGCCATTTGGTCAGCTCTTTTGTTGCTCGTGTTGGCGCCAACACTTCCCGCTGCAAAATTGTCAGATTGGAAGAACATCAAAATGAGATAGCTGGCGAACTAGCTGGTGCTTTCGACCAGCTTCAACCATTTAAGTAACAGTTGTCGTAGTATTGAAGAATGCTGCATGCTGAAAAAGGGGTTATTAGACTGATCAAGCAGCCTGTTTCTTGCTCCAACCACCTGGTAGAGTTCAGATGCATTTTACATATATGTACAACATCCAACTTCGCCAGGGCCACCGGTGTTTAACTACAGGGCTGTCGAGCAGAAAACGACTACAGGTGTGTACCCATCTCTTCTGAGGAGAGAACGCTCGGGAACACGCCCAGGAGCACGGGTAATCCTCCCCCGATCGAGTGAGGTGATCCTTTTGATTAAGGTATCTTAAGGTGACGAGCTAATTCCTCAGAAGGTGGTGACAAGATCATGGAAACAAAGAACGAATCAACCGAGTGGATCCACTATCCTTGGATCTGCACCGTTTACATGTAAGCAACTGAAGGCCAGGACATCTTTATCCAGGACTTCTTGGACTTCTCCTCTTCGGTGAGAACGTCCAGTGTGTGTTTGGAGCGATCCGTGAGTCTAAAAATGAAGGGTTTGTATTCAAAAGCCAACTTCAACAATCAGTCCGAGAAGTCGATTAATTACTTGGTAACTGACCTCTCAGGCCTGACACCTGACCTCCACATGGGTAACGCCTTCTTTACATGGCAATGCCCATGTGAACGTGAAACAGACGCTGCGTTGTGGGTAAACGTTGGACTAGCACAAGTCAGTGACACTTTCTGACTTGGACCTGCGGGACGGGCATGGCATTTATGTTATAATATATATATATGTTCATGCCATGAATCATGACTGGCTGCCCTGTTCCTCAGGGCTGAATGTGGAGGTGAAGGCATTTCGCAAGGAGGCGGAGGCGGTTCCACGCGACTGGGACGGTTTTTCTGGGCGACTCACCAGCTCGGGCGAGGTTGGCCTCCATGGATGAAATTCAGAAGGGTTTGAACACCTGGGAATCAGCGAGGCATTTTTTCCTAAGTAACACCTGGTAAGGGAGAATCCTAGTAGGTGTTTGTAGCATCCTTTCTACACGGGACCATGTTGGAGAGACCATGCGAACCGTTTTCGGGAAGTATCCTTGACTTCTGTGGCCCGTTGTTTGGACTCGAGTTGCTTTCATACTGGTCAGTATCTCTCCTCAGTGCTTACTTTATCTTCCTTTCTCTCCTGCAGAAAAATCGCTGCTTCGAACACACGGGCAGGAACCCTTGCTCTGTCTCAATTGCCTGGAAACCCAGTGCGCGACCAGAGGATCTTAGAGGATTGCTTTCGACCGAGAGACCTGAGGACCAGGGCTTCCAATGGTGCTGACCAATGTGGAAAGGTAGACTCGAGATGAAGAAGATACCTTTTTGCAAAGGCATCATTCAGCCACACAGACAACTGGAGTTGACCTTTCCGGTGAGAAATGGTGTTTGTTCCAGTCTGGTTTGGAAGATGGTGGCCCATTTTTGAAAGGTTGGGCAGATGAGTTAGACATATTAGACTTGCGAGGATGTAGGTTGAGTCCTTCCCAGTGGCTGCCAATGAGCCTAATTGGGTGGAAGCACCACAGTGCGCAATTTGAGAGTGTTGAGAGCACTTTCTCCCTTTGATTTCTTTCAAACGAAAAAGCCACAGCGTGTCAATGGTGGGAAACAACCGGTGACCTTTGTTCTACTCGGCTCAGCGAAAAAGCTTGCGACCATTCTTTACAGCCACACCGCTCCGGACGGTGGTTGTCAAGGTTTCCTCTGCCCAGGACCATGACCAGGGGTCGACCGCAACCTGCATTCGTTACCATCAGGTGACAGGTGATAAGTACAAGGGACAATCGGTGGAGAAACCGAGGCACCTCAGAAGCTCAGCCGATCTTGCAGCACGCCGTGAGTGCGGCCCAGCATGCCGCGCAGGCAGGGGGCTGTGAGGTGCAGTCTCGCCACGACAGACACTGGTCTCTGAGACCAAGTTAGCTTCAACCTTGCAATTTGGGGGGAAAAAGCCGAGACTATGGTCTTGTGGGTGAAAGATTGTGGAAAGGAAGCAGTGAATTGCTTCTTGGATGGCAGTCTCCAAGTCACTGAAGCTTGGAATCGGGCCGGGCCCTTGAAAGACACGATGTCTATGTTGAAACATGTTGAAACGTTGAAACCTGACAGCCTCGGCGCGAAATAAAAAGAAATAAACAGTGACTTTTCTCGTCCGAGCCCCTCAGCTCTGAACCAACAACGCCAAGCAGTGGCTAGAGCATGTTCAAGACGTTCCAGTCTTTGTATCGAAATCAAGAACGATGAGACGAGCAGAACCACCATGCGATCGTTTGCGCAGGGCCAAGGCGGCTTTCTCAAGTCCTTCGATCGGCGTGAGGCGGAACAAAGTTTTCCAGAGCCACCTGGTGACACGAACGGTCATTTGGGTGATTGAGGGATTTACAAAAAACACACCGGGATGGGGACACACTTTTGGCACACGATTTTTTGGTCGAAAATCAGCTCCTCCAGGCTATGGTTCACCATCCTGAACCATCCGGGCCACCGGGTCGTTCGGGCACGACCGACCCTTTTAGGGGGTGGTCAACCGGAATCGCAGAGCTCGGCTGTTGGACCGACCACATGGTATGTGGAAGAAAACACATCGTTGGGCTGAACTACATGGAGGGGTGACCAGAGTCCCTGTGTTGCGAACCCTTTTGCATGTTTGCGTCCGCTGGGACTGGGACTGTGAGAAGTTCCTGGGACGTTTCAGCCGCTTGAAGGGAGTTGCTGCTGTTGAGGGTTGCTTTTGCCCATCAAGAACGACGCAAAAGCCAACGTATAGCAGGCCTTTCATATCTAACGGACGTGCACCCCTTTTCCGTCAATTTGAGACCAATCCTCAAAGCTGGTTCTATCAACTGATGATAACCTATTAAAAACGTATGCCTCACTTGCAAACATAGATACTGGACGGTATGTATATTGTTTGCGGGGTTCACGAACGAGTTTTTTCTATTTTATGCTTGGGGACAACTCTACTGTAGTATATATGGCGCATGAGATCTACTTTGCACCTTCGCCAAAGCAATGCAGACCCCAACCCTGGCAATGAGCCCATAAAAATGACAGTTCTGGGGCAGGCTGCCAAGTCATGGGATTGCCAGTTCTGGTGACCCCTTAGATGGTTCCGCAACATGTTGCCTGGATCGCACCCAATGTCACACGCTTTTCCTGGACCGGCTCCGGGTCCCACCCCGTCGGGTCGCTGTGGATTCCCAACGTCGCTCGTGGGTCGAGTGGCCCGTCACAGCTGGGGCCTGTCGATCACCCAAGTCCATCCACCGCTTTCGAGTGAAAGGAGTGCATTGTCCTGTGATTGATAGAAGAGGTGAACAAAGCTAAGGGTCTGGGAGTCTCTTTCCTGTGCAGCCCACCTATTTGATTAATAGTTCCAGATGTAGTCTGGGGGTATGTGATGAGCCTGACAGTTAAAGAGGCCCACCCAGACCCTAAAGTCTACCGCATAGTAATATAGGGCCTCTCCCATGACGTGTAACAGTCGGTAAACAATTATCATTATTTTAGAGAAAGGCCTTACTGACCATTGTCATCCACTGCTACTGGTAATCGGATATGATATACTATACTCATATATAGCCAACTGCCAACGTACATAGTTTATCTTTCTCTGGTGAGTTCTTCCGTCGCCTCACTTTGTTTTGCCGCTACCTTCGCAGGTCACTCGAACCCCAGAATATAAAACAGAAGCGCATTTCAATTCAAGGACATGTAGGATCATGTGCCACTCCCTGAGGAAAACTGTGAGACTGTGGAGAAAAGTGCAAGTTTTGCAGAAATGGCTCCAGGCATTCCACCCAGTAACTAACTAGGCTAACGCCTGTGGGTCCTTGGGATCTACATATATTGTTTCAGATTTATGTCCTATTTATTCAGCGGTAGTACTGATTGGTTTAGGGTTCCAAGATCTCAGAACAGCACCCAGTCATCTAAGGCTTACAAAGAGCCTGCAAGGCTACGCCTCTGCGCCCTGGACTGCAATCTCCTCCCCTTACGAATCCCTCTTGGTTCGCGCCCAATGATACAAAAACAGTGCCATCAAGCAATGATTTGTGCGTTTTTTATGCCCACTCCAGCAGCCCCCTTCCTTGTTTTGGTGGAAGGGGCTCTTGATCCTGAAGAGAACCCTGCACAAGAGAAGGCTATTATATAGAGATGATCTTGGGGTGAACAAACACTTCAAGATGTCCAGCGCTTCTTCCTGAACCAACATCTTGTCAGGTCCGCAACACGACCCAGTGCACGAAGGGGATGGACCTCAAAAGTATGGGACCTGTTCACCAAACTCGAGTGGACACCACGCAAATGTTCAGCCAGTGTTCCGCCACTGTGCTAGGTTGGGCACATCTGCCTTGTGCAGATGCAGCTCACTTCGAAGACAATTTGGGGCCTTGGGATCGCAAGCAACAAAAAGGCGGGCGCGGATGTGGGGAATAAAATCGAACCTCTTGTACCATTATAGCTAGGTGAACATCAAACACTCATGAGCCCTTTTGACGACAACTAGCTTGCGGTGAACTGGGTGTACCATAATTTGACCAAGAAGTATGCAGGACAACCTTGAGCGAATGTTTCCTGGCGCCTGGTCAACCCTTGGCTTGGCCAGTTTGACCAGCGTAGCTGTCCAGCGTAGTTAGTGAAGTGAGGTTGTGATACTCTCCCTCAGACCCGTTTACGTTTATTAAACATTCAATACGTTTTAAACAATTGGTCCCGTCGTGCTCCACTTCTCAAGAGAAGTGGCCTCCGCTGCAAAGCAAGGGCCCTTGCACACTGAACGTGGAATGCTCCACAGGTTCCACAAATTGGGGAAATTCGTAACTATCTGTCGAGAACTCTTTAAATGACATCGTTTCTGCAGGCATTTCGACATCTTCCTCTGCACTTGCTGCTCATCCGTGGCTTGATTGTGTGACACCCAACTTCTCCACAAATGCTTCCACTTTTTGACATTCCCCGTTTCAATCTTGAACCATGATGTAATCTTCGTCACACCAAAAGCGGAGAGATTGCTGCTGGCACATTCCATGATGAGGAGGACCTTTCGCAGCACTTCCATGCTTCCAGGCACCTAGACAATTGTGCCATTCCATGTTAGTCAGTCCGCGTGTATGCGAAGACTTCCATTTTGTGGATCACAATGTAGGACAGCAGGTTTTGATAGGGGCTCATATTCGAACCGACTCATTGCCTTCTTCAGGGTGCCCATGCAGACCCCCACTGACTTAATGGGTCCAGACCCCATCACCGCCAGAAGTTCAATGGAGTATTCTCCCGGATTGCATGTAAGCGGTTGGGGATTTGCATTTTTATTCAAAGTGCGGTAGTTCACCAGGAGTTTGAGCATGCATAGCAAGAAAAAGACCAAACACACCAATATATAATATATCTGTCGCTCACCACGCCAGTTGAAAGACCGGGTCGCTTCTATGACCACAGCCCGACCGGATCGCTTCTATTTGTTTGTTGATCAGAGCACTGCACGAGGTGTAAAGAGGAAGGTGTGAGGTTGAGAATAGGCGTGCTCCTTCATCCGGGGATTTAGATAAGGCATGCCCAGGATACCCTTCTATTTGTCCTGCAACGAGGATTACATCATGTAGGTCATTTGTCTTGGCTCGTTTCACTGGGCTGGGCTTGCAGTAGAAAAGCCTTGCACAAGAACCCCAAACAATTGACCCGACACTTTGCAAGATAGATGACAGGGGTATCCAAAAACCTAGATCTGCTTGAGTCCTTTCAAAGCTGACACCTCTAGTTTGCTAGGCATCCTTCTGCCCATCCCTGCCGTTGACAGAAGAACTTCTGCAGCACTTACGACACCCACACCGCCCTTTAAAAAGACAATGGTTTTCCAGACGTTGCAGGTGCAACCCTGTTTGCCTTTCATCAGCAGTACATCCCTGCACCCAAGACTGGCTGTTGGTTTCATATTCTGTTCAACCTTTCCGCGGTACCCGGGGGCCTCATCACCGCCCGACTCTTCTTCCACTGTCCTCATGGACGCCCGCCCTGTCGTCCAGGCTCAGAGCCGCGCCGCGCACCTGGCGGCATGGCTTCACTACGCTGCATCCGTCAAGACCGATTCAGCTGCCATTGATTTGTTTCATGTGTGTTTTTTTCTCCGGGCCATGAAGCAAGAAAAGGCATGCCGGTGTCTTTTCATCGTTCGCCTCTGGAATGTCCCGTGGTTTCCTTCGGCATCACTGCCACACCCATCACGGGACTCCCGTGGTTGGTCTCTCGACCGCACCCGCCCGGCGCGTGAGGAACAGTTCTTGGGGAAAAGGCTGGAACCAGGAGGACACACTCCAGAAGCTCACGCAGCAGGTGCGGAACCTTTTATTCGAACGTGAGGCTCCAGAAGCTCACGTCGAACGTGTCTGACCCCCTGTCGAACGGAAGCCAAGTGGGCTGAAGATCTTGGCATCGGTTCAGATCGCCCCTGGCTGCCAGGCCAGGCTCAAACTCAGAGAGTTTAGAGCGATGAGAGGTGAAGGCAGCGGCGCGCTACGGGGTGAGTGGGGCACGGGGCCAGGGGCCATTGGTTTGGTGTCTCTGGTGACCTCCAAAGGGCCTGGGTCATGGCTGGCTCGGGTAATCGGTTCCGAACTTCCTTCTTGAGACACATCGAATGAACGACGGCAACTCCCCGAAACCCCGTAAAGCTTGTGGATTCAGGCACCCTTGTTCTTTTTTTTGCGATTTCTTCGCGAAGGTTCTTGGGGCGGCAGGCTTTGGAGAGTTCATCTAAAACCGTAGCCGGAAATTCAGGGATCCTTTCGTCATATCATCCACCTTCTGTTGAGGGTGAAGTGTCCTAGAGTCACAGGATCAACTGCCCTACCAAAGTTAGAACTCCACGGTCCACAGCCTCCCTTAAAGTACTACGCCGTGGGACTGCAGAAAGAACATGTGCAACATTTTCTATCATTCCAATGTCCGCTCGCTCTGCGCAGCTGTGCCATCGTCACTGGCTTCACCCGCAAGCATGGCGTCCGAACAGCAGGAGACGGAGACACGGTTCCCTGCGCTAGGATGCGGTTGAGAAGAGCAATGCTAGGTTCAAGATGGTTTAACATGTGGGAAAGGTAAAACACACCGACAATCTAGTGATTCTTCACCGTTATGTTGTGCTGAAGACGTTCAAATACATTCTTGAGACTTCAGCCCACTTCATTCATTTCTTTGTTCACTTCATTGTTCTTTGTTTGCACTCTTTTCCATGCTACCTATGCTGCTAGGTGCTCACCAACTACTTCGGGCAAATCCCATGTGGGTGTAGCACAATCCGGTCTTGACCAAACATCAGCAATCATGGTGGGACCTGTGGACCTCGCATAGACTTTCCCATCCGGTCCAGGACATTCGGGCATCCGCCAGCCGTGAACTCAAGCTGACTGAGCGAGTGTGGACAGGTTGCCCCTGGACAGCTCAACCCCTTGACGGTCAGAAAAGACGCCGTCAAAGAATTGGACTGGTCGTTTTCAGTGTGAGGCACGAATAGGAACTAGAGCATAGAGGGAGGAGAGAAACATGGAGGACTCAACAAGGTGCTTTTACTTCAGCATGAGGCCCTTTCCAGGAAAAAGGCCTCCTTCACGATGCATTTTACGGTTCGCCTTTTGGTTTCCCGCAGGATGTTTCCTGCAGCTGCCGGTCCTGTAGTCCTGTAGTCTGCTGACTTGAGAGACGAGCTAGCAGAAATATATAGGTTCAGAGATATTCACTGTACAGGAAGTCAAGATTACTGCAACTAGGATTCGACGGATTCGACGTGTTAGTTGGATTGATTGACCTCAGGTCGCCCCTTTGCGTGGGGAGTGCAACCGAAGGAGGAGAGACATTTCGGGAAGTTCAGTGCAGGTGAACCTGTGACGCGCGGTATCACACACGCACATACCTCTGCAAGAAACCAGTTTGGTGGGAAAGCTCTTCCACAAGTTCCAAAGGGATTACATTTAGACCCGCCCAGTGAGCGGAGAATGGGCACCCTTACCCAAGAGACGCGCTCCAATAAGCGAACCACAAGTCATGCTGTTTGGAATTGGCTGCAGATGAGTCACCAAACCTAGGCAGTTTGCCCTTTGCGGGGACAATGCCTTCGGGGAAGCACCTTGTGAGTCCTACTTTCCTACCTCCGGTGCGTGCGTCTGTGATTTTTTGGCCGGTGGAGCAAGGGCAACGAGCAGGTTGCAGTCGTGCAATTTCATACAAACAATTCACACCTGCATAAGGTACTGCGTGCTGGCAACCCCGTATAGGATGATGGGTTTCGATGTTTGTTTGAATGGGTATACCGTACCTGGAACACTGGAATGCCGAGGGCAGAACTCGTTCAATTTCATTGTCTGCTTGAACTAACCACAGGTGATGCAAGGATCGGTACAGTAGTGCAGTTTGGCAGGTCAACATGGGAAGCCACCTAATATACATGTTGATGGACATGAGGTTTGTATTTCGGTACCCTGTCGTAGTGTTTCTCTTCGGTGCTTCCCACCTGCTCCCTTCGTAGGAGCTCCGGTCGCCGCGCAGTTGCAGCCGCGGCAGTGAAGGTCGCCGGTTTCCACTCGCCGACGGGACGTCGCCGTGTGTCGCGTGGATCAGTGCCACGAGTGGAGCACTTGTTGGTACACCGAGCCGTCTGAAGCTGAAGCCGTCTTTTTTCAATGAAGTGCACCGAGCCAATTGAAAAGAGACCCAAGTCCGGAAAAAACACCCCAAAACAGCCCACGTGTGTGGGTGTTTTTCTTGGGAAACTCTTGCGGTCAGTGATGCGGGAGTTGGATTGGATTTGTGCACAGAGTCTCTCAGAATTGGCTTAAAGGAACATTTTGAGGAAACCCACAGGTTTGGGGGTGAAAACACTGGGCTTCCCCGATCTTTCGGGTGACTGCGTGGTTTTTGTTTCATCAGACACACGGCGAACAAGGTGCGAGCACTTCAGCGCGATCACCCTTCCAACAGGACAATTCAGACCAGGGATGGTGGATATGGTGGAGAAATGTGGAGAAGATGTGTACGTGGACGCATGCATAGTATATGTATATATGTATATGTATGTGAATATCTGTTTCATAGTGATACATCTCTCTCTCTCTACATATATATATTATGTATATATATATATTTATATTATATGTATATATATACATATGCATGGTTCATGGATTTGGATTTGTGCTGTGTCAACACTGGACATCCCCTTACCTGCAGAATCAGCCTTTCATACATGTCTTTGCATGGCTGTGAAACATTGGGGCATTTTTCCCGCCCCTTGGTGAACCTGTTGTGGGCTATGAGGGAGGACCAATCCTATGACCTGCAAACATTACGTCCATGCCTTGAACCAAACTTGGGAGCTATGTGACACGCGGCCCGCGTGGAAGGTGGGCATGCGGAGGCACATGGCATAGATGAACCATCAAGGTTTTTGGGAGCTACCAATGAAATCGTATGTTCATGAGTCGAAGACAGGGTTGCTGATGAAGACCGGAGCCACTGATGATCTATCTTTAGGACGTGAAGTCGCATTGTTTCAGGTGTTGGCTGGCTAGGAGATGAGATTTTGACCCACGCCCGCCGACATCATCAAAAGGTTAAAGGGATCCCATATAGGTGTGTTTCGTTCGACGCTTGATTCGCTAGCCGCAACCGATTTCTCATCAAGAGTTACGACAGCACTGTAGCTTGACAGGATGACAACAAGGTGGCCTTCAAGCGCTGTAGCTGCTCGGTGAATTGGGAGGCGGTCGATATGCGTGCAACCTCTTCACTCTACAGGGGCAACCTCCATTTTTGGCTTTGCTTGACACTAGGACGAGTCTTAAAGCAGCGAGCAAAATCATTAAAATTATGTGAAATCGTTTGATGACCTGGAGCACCAGAGAAGTTGGCCCCTTTGCCATGACACGTGATGGGCTTTTGAAAAATCTCAGATGCTCTTATCATGTCATGTTTTGATGCCGTCAGGGATGCTGACAGAATGGGCGGAGAAGACGTTGAGAAGCAGATTCAGATTTCCAGCTCTGTGCTCATCAGATCCAGCTCTGTGCTTTCGTTCCAAAAGCCGAATCCGTTCGTTTGCTTCGACTCCTCAAGTCGGGAAGAGGAATCTATCTTGACTCCGGGGTAGACAGAGGGGCAAACCCTGTGGGAGACAGGGGGGAAAATCCTTGAGTTGGGACGAACGATTCTTTGTCGCCGATCGAACGTCGTGCCAGGGTTTGGCTCAATCGCAGTTTCACTCCATCCAAGGTCCATCTGTCAAAGAGGAGCAGGACTCTCCGCGCAGGTTTGTTTTTAGACACCTGTGGGGAGGTAGGGGTCAGTTTTATCGAAAGGATTGGAGAAGAAGATACATAGAAAGATATAGCAAGTAAGCTTGGGGTGTAAACATGATGATTTTTGTTGAAGAGTTCATTTTTTGGGGCATCTTTGGAACCACCGCTGGCCCAGAAAATGGCACATCTCTTGACTTTTAGAGATTCCATAGAAGCTTTGGCAAACAGCTTTGGCTTTACTTTGGGCTGTGGACACTTGCTGGGGTTCAGGTGGTATGGTTTGCCTGGTTTGTCCTTAGAATACTACTAGTAGTCGGTAGTCGTCAGTAGTCGTCATTTTGAGCAGCACCCAATGGAGTCTTCCTGCAGGTCCTGTACTGGAAGTCTCAAGTGGTCTAAGTGGTCTAGAGTAGATGATCATGATACGAGCTCATAGACCATTTCATGCAAATCCATATCTTCCTTTAAGTTTTGCGCGATCTACTCAATGCGGCAGCTGCACTATACTTGGACAATGAATATTATATATACACATAAATAAAATATAAATGAGCCAAGATTTTGATCCGCATGAAGCGTGGCTCATCATTGTTGAACAAAGACAATTTTCCCTTTGAAGCAGCCATACTGTACCATCTCATTCCGTGCACCTATGATTAGTAGGCCGCTGCGATTGTGAGATCGGCAGAATCACTTCTCACTACACAGAATCACCAACCAGTCTGTGCTGGTGGGTTTTTGAGGCCCTGTAAGGATAGCTCCTGTGTGGCGGCTGATCAGAGACAAGGCTGGAAAGGTAGGCAGCATCCTTTATGAGGGATCTTCCATGTGTGGTACTCACTTTGATGGTATGAGTTGCCACCGTTGTATGCCTATAGAGGCCCTATATATGTCCATCGGTATTTGTGGGCCGGGTATGGCACTTTTCTTTGCTAAGAGAACTTGTCCAGCGTTGCTTGGAGCCCGGTTTCTCCAAACGCATCGGACGCCCCGCCCTACGGACCGAATCCCGAGCTGTGAAGGACCCTTCGGCATTGGCCTCGCCATGCAGTTTGCCGCCCTCTCCCAGGTCCAGGTGGGACTTCAGAAAAACAGCTTCAGGGCTCGACTCCAGAGAATGAACTTCCAAACTTCAATCCTCTCTCGGGCTAAAGGGGACAGCAGTATGAGCTGAATGCTTGTAGCATGCTTGGAGAGCAGCTAGCAGCTATACGGACACCGAGGGACGGGGTGCTGGACACCAAGCTCGGACACGCTGCCTGCAATTGGAGTCCAGTGGTGCCAAGGTATCGCCAACATGGCGCCAACCAAACGTGGTCCAAGAGGGGAAAGAACCCCGAAAGACCCCATGGACGGACCAAATTAATCAACTATATATTATATAGATCCTATATCATATATATATATATTCATATATCATTATTGTATTTGTATTTTTTTTTACAAATAGTTACACATCAATAGTACATTTTGTATTCACCAATTGACAGAGCTTCCTCTACCACCGTTCTCCCCGTTCGACCCTTGTATTTGCTGTGCCAGGTCGGATTCCCCGGACTGGAGCGGCGGCCAGAGCCGCTCTCCAAGCCGGACAGGCCACCGGTGGGTGGGACGTGGGCCAAATCAGCAAATATCAAAACACGAAGCACTCGAGTGCACGGGAAGAAGTGCCTCTCCGGGAAAAGGCACCCAATATCTAGTGACCATATTTTTCTAGTGCTTGGTGGGAGAAAAGCACTCAAAATGCTATGTGTCTTTGTTTTTTCGAGGGTCACTGGTGAGCCCTCAAGATTGCCAGGTATAGGACAGGAGAAATTGGGCGGGGAAGAGATGACCTGGGTCACCCAAAGAACCACATTGGCATTTGGTTTGATGTATATTTTTCCCTGCAAAAGGAGTGAGCTTTGTCATGCAGGTTTGCTTGGGTGATTTTGAGGGCACCCTTTGCAGTTTCAATACCACCATCAGGCTTTTGGTCCATCCACCAGTTATGCGTATCTATTTGTGAGACACCTGGCGGCCAGCCAGGGTTTGCACAGTTTGGACACCAGAGTCTCACCAGAGGCCTTGGCTGTTTTATTGACTTGGCAGCATTACAACAAGGCGCACGACTCCCGTAAAATATAGGACATAAGCTCTCCAGTTTGATACATTATATGCGGATCTGGGTGACGCCTCTTACATAATGTTTACCCGGTTGCATTTTCGTGGGCACCCTGGTTTTGGTGCAGTCCATCCTCATGTTCGCATTGCATTGTAGGGGGTCTCCAGGTGTTTCCTGTTTTCAAACAGCATCGAGGCAAGTCTGTTCCAAGTTGGCGAGGGTCTAGACATGGTCCGGAGTCGACGCAATAATAGTCTGGCTGGATTCTTTGTTGGCCGGTTTCAATGTTGTTTGATGATTTGATTCTTTCATTTCTTTATTTTCTTTCATACTCCCTAAAATAGGCTGGCTAGACCAAAAGATGAAGTGCAAGTGCCCCCAACCCCGCTTACTTTCTTTTGGCCCAAGTGCCAAGTGCCAAGTGATTTGGCCCGTCCATCCCATCCATCGCAGGTCCGGTGAAACGTCACCGTTCGCCGCCGCCGCCACAGTGGCGACAGCGGGTCACGCCGCCCTGGGCACGTCCGATCGAGGTGCCAGGCCAGGTTGGTCCAGTGAAAACATTGCATGAAAAAGGGAACCACGGCAGGCTGCGTCCGTTGAGGTGTAAGAACATTTTGCTCGAAACAGGGGTCCCAAAACTTCCTTGTGCTTGCAAGCACGCGGCGCCGCGGCGCTCAAGTTCTACATATTCCCTCATCAGTTGGGCGCAAGCAGACCTTCTGCCGAGTTGAACTCCTCGGCAGGGTTATGCCGGTGACGACCAGGTCGGGACATGCAGTTCGATGGAGCAAACTCCCCTCCCCACTGAAACACTGGGCTCGCGGGAAGGGCCCTGCTTGAGGCGTGCGCAGAACCATGTGTTTCTGTTATTTTTTGAAACCTGAGAGCGAATCATTTTATGCTCGATGCTGAGTACGACTTGTTGAGGCAGCGAATGAAGCGAACACAGTGACGTCACGGTAGTAGAAAGGACATGAAATGAAAATAGCTGGCACAAGCCACAGGTCCTTCCAATCGGTGCCGGCAGGCAACCACAAATAGTTTAAAGGTTGTTAGCACCTCACTTGGTGCTCCAACTGCTCGGGGTGTTGAAAACAGCTTGGCACAATGCCGACCAGTTGCAACAGCCCAACAGCTTGTGTGGACCCTAGTAGTAAACATGCTACTAGTAGTGATGCCAGGAGCCCCTAGTAGCGTCCTTGTGTGGACCCCCAAACACTCTTCAATCAAAGGTCCCTCTGACTCCGCCTTTTGCCCCGGCGCCCTGCAGGCTCAGACTCCGACGGGGAGGTCCAGTGGGTCACGAAGGTGACGGCGCGCAGACGTTGACGGTCGATCCGGATCCACACCTGGTCAACAGGAATAGGTCAAGAGTGGTTCGAGTATACGATCCAGTCAGAGTTAGAGTCCGGCGTGATCTCGATTTCAGCTGTCCAGGGTTCTGGGGTCTCATGATTCTCATCTCTCTTGGTTTTGAGACGAAACCCTTTTATTTGGGACGTTCTCCTTGGTTTTGTCCTGTCGGGCCACGAAGATGAGACGAAACTGCGTCTCCGTGCAGGTGGGAGTTCGTTGCAAAAAACGATTCGGTGGTGAATCTCTCCTTTGTGCACAAACCATTTATATCCATGTGTGATCCTCCAGTTATCGGAGACTTGGACAACAAAGCTTGATGCAGGTGTGCCGCAACCGAACGCTGGAAGACCCAAGTAAACCCGATCCACCCAAGAAGCGAATAGATCGAGTCACAGACAAGGACATGCCTCGGTCAAAAGATGCAGGATGCTTGACAAGTGTTGCTGCGGCATGTCCGACCTGTATATAGTCAACCCCATGTGAACATCCAAGTTGCATCTGTACTATGAACGCTTCGAGGGTGGCACCAACGAACATCGGGGACCAGCAATTCCAAATGGAAACAAATGCACTCCCATACACTCCCGAAAGCTAACATAGTTTTCCTCTAAAAGCCCATGGTTTTCAGGGCTCATATTAGTTTTGAGCGGATTTGTGTTTAAGGCGCAGACCCATCGATCGAGACCGAGAGCGCAAGGTGAAAGAAGAGCGGCGCAACAATGTGAAGGGGCCTGTGCCCACGAGACTTGGGCCGGCACAAAGTCGTGATGGAATTGAGGTGGGTCCGGTCGTTCGGATGAGTAGCGAGAGCACCGACATCCACCTCAGATGGTGCCCAGACCGAAAGGGAGAAAGTACTGGGAGCTGAAGGCAGCAACCAAACTGTGTTTTGGCGAACCAGCATGCTGCGACATGGTGACTTCAATGTACTGCAAGTATAAAGCCAACATAACACGTCTACAATGCAACCAGGGAATGGGTGCAAGTTGCTGCGCCAAGCTCTTGTTGCTGCAAGGTTGGGGCTTTGATGCTTGGACCCGGGTTTTCAAGATTTTGGTAGAACACCAAGGTAGGACTCTTCGTCACAAAGACATTCCCTACTCAACGTGTATATCTCAACCTTGCTGGTGAAGATTTGACGCTTAGGTGGCCTTGAACAAATCTTGGAATATTCACGTTTTTGTCACTGATCCTGCGGCAGATTTTTTTAACATACCCATCCAAGACATTCCACAATACCCATCTTGGTCAATGATCCAAGGATTCTTCTCAAGCTGCTTCCCACCCCCGCTTGAGGAGAGCTCCGACTCCAAGATTTGCCTCTTCTCAACGCGGGGGCTCCCATGCAGCTGCAGCATGAGACCGCGGTGTGCGAACGCGCTGTTTCGGTGCATGAGACTGGTGCGTGTCCTTTTCGGGGCGGGCACGGGGCCGGCTGGCTTCAGTCTCCCTGTGATCCGAGTGACTTGAGCTAAACGCCCATCCTGAGGTGGTTCCTACAAGCTCACGTGCGGCAGCGTTGGGTGCCACATTCAGGTGCCATGCTGCGTTGGTCAGGTAAGACTGCAGGGTCCAGGTGTAGCTTGACATTCAGGATGAAGGAACAGCTGCATCCTTCACAGCATTCTGCCTGGCTTGGTGGGTTGGTAGGGTCTTGCGCATGAGGATCACTGCGTCTGGTTCACGGCCACGGTGGGTGAAAGATCAACACCTTTGTTTGTTGGCCAGCTTTCCCACAGCCAAACAAATCTACTGTTACAGTGCTGCAGTGAAATGGATCCACCTGAAACACGCCACTGCCTTTATTTATTTGCAGAAGATCAAAAGACCATGAGGCCGAATGAGGCCCTGAGGTTTCGTGCATCTTGCTTTGCATGTGTGTTTTGTCTGTGGCGTGGGCGTCGTGGAGATGTTGGACATTGTTGGACGATCTTGGCGGATAACGTGCATTGTGAAGACCTGCTTTTGGGATGGTTTCAGGTTCATGGCCTGGTCACCGCTCTGGAACGGTGACTTGATGGTCTCTTTTGGATTGGAATTACATCTGCATGGTAGTTTTGTCTCCTTTGTCATGCCAAAAGTAGTGGTCGGACTCTGTTTAAAAAACTAGAATAGCACGAGCTTTCCTCAAGAAACAGTTCCCATGTATGGGAAAACACATAAATGAACACATGACTTTGGAGCACCAATGTTACAATGTTGCAAACGCCTACATTCAGTCATGTCAACGTGTCTAGAATGGCGACCCTTGTGAGCTTGCATCCTGTGACTGCGAGCAACGGCAAGAACCAGCGAGTACGAATGCGTTTAGGCAGTGGTTATAGGCAGCAATTTGTCTGAATGTTGAAAAAGATAGGCCGCGCGCTTCATTCTTGAGCGAGAACCATGTTTGAGCAGTTATTGATTTTGTCCAGCTGTGCTTGCGGCGGGGGGCAAAAATGCACCCCCAGACACCTATACAAGCGATCACCTTGAATGTGATTCCGGCAGAGGCGAAGTTCATATGGGTCAGCGGGCAGTTGTCAGGTGTGAAAAAGCGTGTCCAGACATGGATCTCCGGATTGGCATACCACTCTTTCTTTATCCCATATCAACATATCAGTTGTAAATTTGCGGACCCTGGGTGTCCAAATCCTATGGGGGTCTATTTGGACCCCATCCAGTGCTCCACACTCCATGCCTCAGGCAGTGAATCACACGTTTCTCGGCCGAGCACGGCGGGTTTCAGCCCCGACACCTCGCCGCGCATCGGCAGGTCTATCGTGGATCCGTGGAGGGCCTCGTGCTGGTGGAGGTGAGCGCGACGCATCGTGTAGAACCTCGGTCGAAGACAACGGGGCCATGTCCGGACCACGGTGAGTGGTCGCAACACCGGTCTTTTTTGGCGCAAGGTTGCGGAAAATCTGGCAGGACTAGCGTAAGCAAAGTGCGTTTCAGCTTTGCTTTTCCATGCTTTTGCATGTGTGCTAGCTTCAGTCTTGAAGTGTTGGGGTACTGGGAAACCAATCAGAAGTATTGAGACATGCTTGTTTGAGGAATCTATTCTGCACTGAAAGAGTTTGACAAGTGCATGTTCATGCCCACGTTTGGAATGATAATGCCACTTTGTTGTACTCTACTTTTAGCATTACCCAAGAAAAAAAACACGTGTGATTGATTGAACCACCTTCTTGCAGGTGGCGCCGCAACAAGCAAAGCCAACGTCTCACCATTACTGTCATGACATCACTTGTCTTTCGTAGTGTGCAACAGCTTGTAACCTATGTACATGTCATGTACAATCTCTCTAAAGGGTCAAGAGTCTTGAGTTTTGCTTAGCATCTAGTGAACATACGCAAAGACTTCTCTAGATTTCATGGGTTTATGCTCGTGAGGCGACGTAAGAAGTGCGTAAAAGGGCACTGTAAGCTACACATGGCGTTTTAAGTTTTAAGGTATAGTCCGCGAGGGCGCCCAAACTAACTCTCATTGTCCAAAACTCTCCGACGCTGAAGCTTTCCTGGGCGACCTTTTTGCACTTCAACCTACTGATGAAAGTTCCTCCGCTTCATCCTCCTCATCGTCTTCATCCGCTAATTGTTCATCCTCCATCCGCTGATGGATGTTGGCGCTAAGTTAAAAGTCACGTGCCGAAGCTCCTGTTGTGGTGTGGTGCAGACAGTTTGTCCTTATTTGTTTGCGCAGGCTCAGCATAAGCACTTCATGTCCCCTGCATGGTGCGTAGGCTAAAATGTGAGTCGTGTAAGCAGAACGCAAGCGTGTGTGCAAGCACCTCCCTATGACCCATCGCTTCAAACGCAAATTTTTGAACAACGTTCAATTGAAGAGGCCAATGGGAGTGAGGGAAGACGAAGGCTCTTGCCACTTTGTCGGCCCATACTCCTGAAGCAGTCGAAATTATCGCCATGGTTCAAGACACATTCACAAGAACGATTCTCCGTCAGTCCAGAGCTGTACGACCATTGCGGCTCATGTAACGTAACCATCGTTGGGATGAGTGGTACAGCTTTGCCACCTGGACTGCGGTGAGAGTGGTGTTCTCTCTTGCCGTGTTCACCCCTTATGTTTAGAGCGTTGGTACTGGAAAGAGAACTAAAGAGAGCCGAAGATACCAATTTCCACTCTGGATGTGACCGCGGAAGGAACTTCATAGATACCACTGTTTTGTGGCCCGCAAAGGCGTTGAAGACCATCCGATGTCCCAATATCTTTGTCTCTAAGGAAAAGTGCCTGGTCTACTGTCCCACCAAGATGTGGTGGGACAACATCTTCGCGACGCATGGCATCGAGCAGATCTGGTCGTGGATCTGCGAGGAGCAGTCGCTCAGCCTTTGGTCGTGGAAGGTGATGCGTTGTTCGGAAGGAAACCATCTCCTTGACCATCTTGACCCTTCCAGCTGAACTATTTGATTCTATTTGCGTTGGTTTTGCCGGAAAGGCACCAGATAACGTTGACCGTTGTCGTCCTGTATGATCCTGTAACTTGGAGTCTAGTCCTGTTCAAAAAAGAAACACCAGTGCAGGCGACTGAGGGAGTTTCAATTGGATGATTCCCACAGAACAGTTCCATCGAGTTTGGCCTAGGAATTGCTTGTTGACAAGAAAGGATGTCTTTTCCTATCCATTGCCATTTGGACTTCGGAAGATTCTAAAGGAAAGCAAAAGCACATCAAATGAAATCAGAAGTTCGGCAATCAACTCTATTGCTTTAAAAGATATTTTTCCGACCCCGTAAACAATGTGTGCAACTTTGAACAAGGGTTTTGGTAAGAGGGATCAGCTCAGAGTCGTATGACCAGACCAAGGATGGACTAACAACAGCAAAGAACTTGGCAAAGAACAAGAAGCCATAGGAAACCCAAAGGAAACACTTGGAAGTCCATCAATGGAGCCACAGTGGTGTTGGTGAAACCAAATCAAAACAGGGGATAACCAAATATATATATATATGTTGAAACGAACAACATAATTTACTCTGGGAAGAACATTCATAATTTAAAGATATGTTACAACCTCCAAACCAATTCAAGGATGTGAAACCCTGGAACCCAACATTTTGCATTTCACAAATCGAGGATTGAACAGTACCCTACTGCAGTCATGTCTAGCCTAATCAGTATTTGAGATTCTCTAGTGGATGTTACAGTTGGATGCATTCGCTGTGGTGTTCACCTGGTGGGCCTTGGATGCATTCGCCCTCGCCCAGACGCGACGTGGGTCTCTGAGGCAAGGCATGCTCCTTCAAATGGTCCAAAGGGGTGTGCTGCTGAAGTTCGTGATCCCGGGACGGCCATGTCTGAGCGATCCCGACCTGGAGAGGGGGAGCGGCGGATGGCTTCGGTGTAAGGTCGCGGGCAATTGGAAGCAGTGCCCGCGATCCTTTTGGAAGACTCGGATCCTTCCTAAGGGAGGACTGTATGTTAGATCATTGGGCTTTGCAGTTTTTTCATCAATGGCAAGTACACTCAGCTGGGCCAGGCACATAGTGGCACCTTTCATGTATGGCGCGTTTGATAGCATCCACCAATCGGCAACATCTGCCTTTCTTGGCCCGCTGTTCGGGTCCACTCCTTCGTCACATTCTTCGTGGAACTCTCTTCGGTGTGGGGCTTTCCGGGCGAACGACACTGGGCAGACATGACAACAACACACAATCAGTTCAAAGTATATGGCTTGTGCGAACCACTAGCGCAGAGTTGGCGCATGCTTGCGCAATCCATCATATATATATATAGAGGAAAATTAAAGTACATGACATATATCATATATCTTTCCTTTCACTAGAGGGTATCTGGTGAAACCCTCGAACCAAAGGCGCGCACCTGGTTTCGGCCAGGAGGGTCTCAAAAAGCTGCTGCTCACGTCCCAACAGCGGCCCTGTGTGGCCATGGGATGCTCCGCGGGAGGATGGTTGGCTCTGAAACTGCTGCGGGTCATGGCCGGCTGGCAACACCTCCAGGCTACCTGGCAGTGGGTGGGCATCACTTGCTGGACCTTTGAGGGTGAGGATGTGTTGCACGTTTGTTTGTTTTGGGGGACAGGCTTGCAAAGGTCTTCGAGCTTAGAGAAGATTGTGCCATGATTTTTGACCCTGTTGTAGGTCGCAGGGGCGAACTTTTCCGGCGTCTTTTTTAGGGGAAGTCACAGGCTCTCTGCGGGGCCCTACCAAGTTTTTGGAGAGGTGTCAGGAGGTCGCGATTCATCGTAGTTCAGCTTCTACAAAAGGAATTACAACTGAAAAAGACAAGTAATAACAAAGAGGTTCAGCTGCGAAACCTTCGCCAACTAGCTTCAATGAGAGGATGTTACCCTCCTGGTCACCTGCTTGCCTTCTGAATCCAAGGCCGTGGCAGCAGTATCACCGGCTCCTCTGGACATTGAGGAGTGGCAGAAGGTGCGTGACGGGAGCTGGGAGAATTGCTGGTCCCTGGGATATCCAAGAAATGAAGAACCACTTGCACTCCTGAGTCATGCTGAGGAGTGCTGTTTCCAGCTCGGTGATTTGGGTCTTTACATACCTTCACCGCGCATTACCGAAACGTCATTTGCACATGGCACAGAAAATGGGCACGAAGCAGCCGATGTTATTAAGAGCGCAGGATTCTCCCCACAGCAGTTGGATCAGATTCCTTCACTTCTCTGAAACTGATAGAGCCCTGACTGGGAGTGGGTCAGCGTGCGAGTGGGTAAAGCCCAAACCCTGGCAGGTTCACCTCCACCGTACACGATTTTGCTGGTTTTGTTGATCAAGATAAGGATAGTTGGGGCAATCATATTTACTTGTCAGAGTTGAGATTCTTGGGTTTGCAAAAGACGGAGGACGTCGGAAAGCTTCTTGCAAAAGGTGTTTTGTCTCAAGGTTTTGCACCTTCATGTTTGGGTCCAGCTGCCAGTGCTAGGTACCGCACTGGTGCTGTCAGCTGGCATCGCAGCTGGCAAGGCCGTCGCAGATGGCTCGCTTGGCCTTGTCACGTGGATGAAGTCCACAGGATAGAAGAGCAACCCAAAAGGCAGATTTAGACAAAGTAAAACAACGTATTTTTCGTCCAACACCTAGTTATTGCCTTTTTTTCACAGCTATTCCAGTAGGTTTACCTAAGAAGTTGCCTCCAAGACTACCTTGAAGGGAGTCGACCATGGGGCTTGGGTGGGCAGGCCAAGGAAACAGGACCTCTTTCAGAAGACAAACAACATGTGGAGGGCACCATTTCTTCCAATCTTTGCTCATCAATCTTTGTGCAACAAAGAAGGAACATGCAGTCCACCAAAGGACCTCGATGTTCGGACAACCTGCTTTTTCCAGGGATATTCTTGCTTAAGGCTTTGTACGATTTCTGGTGCAATAGAGCTCCAAAAGCCATGCCGTGGCCCGTCGACTCGTTGATCCAAGGTTCTGGGGCGAGGGTGATCCCTCCCAAGCACCTTTGAAGAGCTTGCATAAGTCTCCCCACGTCACAAGACGCTGCTTGCGTGGCAAAGGCCACATCGGCTTCTTGTCGAAGGCCGGGCCGAAGCCGAAAGCGTCAACGCATGCGCAGGGAGTGCGAGTCGAAGTCCGTGGATGTCTTGTCATTCAGGGTGCCTTCATTCCACTCGCAGATTCCACTCGGTAGTGGCGGGCAACTAAGACCCTCCCATCTTACCAAGGTTGACTATGGTGTCAAATGAATCTTGCTTTAACACCACGAATCAACAGCATTTATCATGCACTTGATTCTTGATCTTAACCAGAAGCGCAAGAGATTCCTCTGCATATGCTTGCGCATAGCTTCGTTGACATCTAGGATATTGTTGGCTTGGCTCCCAACTTGATCAGCCACAGGCTACACCGATCTACCCGGTGCGATTGACGAGAACTTCCTGAAACCAAAGGTGTCACGGTGCCCACCTATATGTGTTAATTTTTGATGGAATTTCAGTTGGTGAGCTGTTTTCGAGACCAGTTTTCACATTACCCCACAGGTTCAATTGTGCCTATACATTCAGTCGCAGCGCCTAATTCCAGAAAAGCCCACTGCCACTGCCGTCAGGAGCTCTTCACGCAGGTCTGGCAAGAACTCACTGCGAGCAGTCAGAGCAAGTCAGAAGATCACTCGCGGCAGGCGTGACGTGATCCTTCATTGCGGTGGTTGTTTGTACGGCCGCTCCAGTATTTGTGGAGGGGGAAAAGAGGCACGTTTATTCGATCCTGGCTGCCTGGCTTTGTCTGAGGGAGTCGTAGATATATGGAGGCAAAGTGCCCCGCCACAGGACCCAAATATCCATTTTCACCAAGTGCCTTTTTCAGGACTCGGTGTTGATCCTCGGGTTGCTTCGGGTTGGACAGATCTGTATGAAGCCCGAGCAGCCTTCGGCCCTTGCTTCGGTGCTGCAAGGCGCCCCCAGTGCCAAAGTTCGAGGACGAGGCCCCGGCTGCGCCACCCGCGCCGCCCAAGCCGCCATTGGCAGCTGTGCGGAGGGTCGGCATAGTGGTCGACCTGGATCGAGAATCCACGCAGATCAAAGGGAGGCTCCTGGGATGAACGATGGCAGCTGGGTGTGATTCCAATAATCTACAAGCAGAGGTGAGAATTACAACTTTTGAATACTTTTGATATTTTTAAGTTAGAAGTATATAAAGTCTCTTGGCTCAAATCGCAGTGGCGGTGTTAATCGTTTTTTGCGAAGAATTTGGTTCCAGGGATTTTCGGGGTTATTCAGCAGATCGATTTGTCGACTTTTCACATAGCTCTTCGGGAGCGGCCACGGCTCATGAAAGACTCTAGACAGCCGCGGCTAACCAATCCTGACGAATACTTCAAGCCTGGCTCGGAAAATTGTCCAGTTTCGGCTTTCAGTGTGTGCCATGCTGGGATAGTCTACTGTTCATGTCGCCCTCCTTTCTTCCTGACGTTTTTGTTGTGAACAGTGCGGCAGATTTTGGGAAGGGGGCCAGATGCTGCTTGAAGCTGACAATGGCGCAAAATTCCTGGAGTTGATATTCTTTCAACAGCAGTCCCTTGAGGCTGCGGGACGTGGATGGTGATGGAAACACCGAGTACGAGTTTGTCGATTTTCATGACCTTGGATTGGACGTTGGTGATCGTGTCCAGTCGCTTGGCTGGCACAGCGTGTTGGGCGTGGACAGCTGTCCGAAGGGTTAGTTAGTTTGGATGCTTTTTGGGAAGGGTCCAGCGCGCACTGAGTTGGTTCTTCTTGGAGTATGGATCAACTTCTGACACGCAGCTGTTCAATTTTGTAGAGTGTCGAAGTTGAAGCAGAGCCAAGGGAAAAGAGACCCTATAAACCTTCTGCATCAACGACCACAGTACTGCCTTTCTTTTCCAATTTTTATCACAGGAAAGCCAACATCTCGGGGCACAAGTTGTAGGTTTTCAGTCTGCCTGTTGCGGAATCACAAGTTGTAGGTTTTCAGTCTGCCTGTTGCGGAATGGGAATCGATCCACAAGGTGCAGGACCAAAAGACATAGAAACCTGCAGAAGCGGTGCATCTTCTTTTTCTCCGTGCTACAGTTTAAGTGCTGATTCTTTGTTTGGCTTTCCAATCCAACTCCATCCAACTCAATCTCATTTGTGGTCCGTGGATCACTATGGGGTTTTGAACAATTCAAGCAAGTCCACCATGGATCCGCCGCGCAGGTTTTCCATGGACAACCTCCGCAATTGCGCGGTGGATGTGGCCCGGGAGAAAAGTGGCGCCATGAACGGGGGCTATGCCAGCGGCGCGGCGACCGTGCCAAAGCCTTCCCACATTGAGATCCAAAGGGCTGAGCAGCTGCTTGGCAGTGGTGGATAGAGGAAACAGACCTGGTGGGCTCCCCCAATGCTAGAGAGGATTGGTCTATGTCATGACGACAGACCGTTTAGAATCTTGTTGGGAGGACTGGCTTGGGAAGAACTCAAGATGTGACTTGAGGGCTGCGACCCAGCCTGTAAGCCACCTCAACGCATATAGCAATATGCCAAAGTCCCGTCGAGCGTGTCAACGACATATGTAGGGAGACCCTCCTACCCATCTGCTCCTTTTGGGGTGTCGTTGGCCCTTCCGAGGTATATCTTTTTGGTGTTTCTAGTGATTCTAGTGGTAGGCTGAGCCCACTTGCTTTTGGAACCGCATACAACATACTGTAGCTGGATCCACTTTGGCCACTGTTCCTTTCCACCGCTGAGCCTCATCGAGGGATGTTGAGCACCACCAGACCGAGAGCGTAGTAGGACCAAGGTTCGGGTGTAGCTGGGCAGTTTGTAGGACTTCTTTTTCTGCAGTGGCTGGATCTTGGTTTCTTGATTTCAATGAATCACCCTGGCCGCCCTGGCCAAGAAATGGTCCTCAAAAGAGATGGCCTCCTGTACAACCCTGTATATAGTTGGCATTGCAGTTTCCAAGAGATATTGTTCAATCCATGGGCAAGCCCCCTGTAAAATAAAACATCATGAGGACCTAAGCAAGCGTAAGAAAGTGCACGTTGCAAACCCATTGCACGACGATTGTGCGCGGACATGCGGGAAGTGACTCAGTATTGGTGTGGGTATCCTGTTTGGGGTGTGCGCACCATTAGTCGACAGTTCGTTTTGAGGTTTAATATGGTCACGTGCTTCGGTCTCAGCCACATTGAGTGGCTCAAGCCTGAAAGATGGGAAGCTTGTAGTGAAGAGCCCAAGCAATTCTCCCGCTTGGAAAGACATTGCGTCGTCTCGTCATGTCTCGAGAGGAACCCGCCATCCCGGTGTTCATCAACCGTTTTTGATTGCGAAGGGTTGCCTTAGACACCCTGCGACTCCTGAATATGTGTGAGCCCCCTGGAGGTTTTTGCGACGCCATGCGGTGGCTGCCGATGTCAAGGAGTTCACGCATAGTTCAATGAAGGGCTTTGGTGATGAGTATGCCCGCAATTCGGGAAAGTTCAAGTTCCCAGATGACCCGACGCTGGGAACAGCAAGCAGAGTTTGCTGGACGTTAACAGTATTTTCCAGTATTCTTACAGGTGTAGGTTTGTATTTGTAGCCGGGCACTGCTGCTGTTCTTTGCAAGAAGGTAGTATACATCCAAGACAGGTCAAAGAGGCTCCGAAGCGACCCAAATGCTAGCTCGAAGTACGGTATAGCTGTTGCTCAAACACCTGCACCCCCAAAAAACACATTGTAAAAGAAACCCGACTTGAATCAGAGTTTTTGGGATACCCTGAGTATATATAGTTATATTCAACTGTACAGGAAGGTCTCCTAGATCAACAGTGCATTTCGCTGGCCCGCCGTCCGGTGATGCAAGTGGTCAGCACGCTACGTTCAATAGTCTTCCAACAGGGCTCACTCGTTTTCAGTGCGGACCTTGCAACCCCGCCCAACATTCCAACCACGTCCCCAGGGGCAGCAGGGCTGACCTGGCGCAGACCATCGAGACGGCGCACCGGCTCTCGGAGCACATGAGCGGAACTCGCTTGCCTCTCGGAGCACCGGCTTGGAAGGTCGTGACACCTAACGCGGTGGTAGACCGGGCTCGACCCAGGGCTCCGTCCACGGAGGTGGATGTGGTCGAACGTGTCCGGCTTGAAAGCCAAATCCAGGTGTTTGGGAAAAAACTCGTGGTAAGGCTGAATGTGATTGGTCACAGAACACCACATCACGGAATAACGAGCGTGCATACCCAGCCATGTGCCCTGAGATGGCCGATCAGGTTGACATACGGGTTCTGAACTGCTGAGATGTCCCTAGAATCCTAGAAGATCATGAGTTCAATTGAGGGTTTCGGAAGGCGGCAATCCTTTCCATGCAAACTGCAACGGGACAACATCTCAGTGTCTCCTCTCCACCAACCATCACGCGGGATGGAGGGATCACCGAGGGTTGAAGCAGTTCAATCTTTGCAGTCCGTCTTTGAGAAGAACTGGTTCGGTGAGGTCAGATTGGCAACTGTTGGAGTGGGTTAAACATTAAAATATGAAAACAACACGCATTTGACCCCTACAGGATCAGGGAAGACCGCGCGGGAGGTCAAAGATTTGCGGGTGCAAAGAATATAGAAGCGGATCCAAAATGTGGCTTGCCTTTTGACATCCTGCGGCCTTTGTTGAGCATTGTTCGCCAAATCTTATCACTTGTTGTATTGTAAAAGCCATTGAGTTTACTCGGGGACTTGCGGGAAACTTCTTGACAGCTTCACTTGGACTAGCAGGGTACAAGTGACAGAGTGATCACATGAATGGATGATGAGCCTGTGACTCAAGGGTGAGAGTTATTCGGCAACTATAGGAGGGGAAGATGTCTGTGTTTATTACACCTATGGAACCTAAAGCGCACGAATTTGTCGTGTCTGATGGAAAACATCGTGTCCTGGCTCCACTTGACTATAAGCATCATTTTTCTGTCAAATAGTTTTTCCGACAAACCCGGAAAAATGTAGACGGTCCGTAGAAGCCCGCAGGCAACCAGATATTGTTTTTAGTAAGTCAAGAGAGCTTGCTTTTTTTGTATACACCGTGCATTTTCATGGTGTGATGTTTTTGGGGGTTTCTAGTTCTCTGGGTGGATAACTAGTTTAAGATATACTCCCGTGATTCCTGATGTACCTGCAAGAAGTCAGAATTTATACTTTGTGTTCCTCGCGTGTTGGTTATTCATCATTGCCATTCACAGGAAGCTGTTCTTGTGCGAGCATCCCACAGAGATTTACGCCTTTGTGGAGGACTAGAGCACAGGTGGTCCAACATTTGGTGTGCCTGTTCTTGCCTTTTCAGCTAACTGTCCAGATCCGCCTGAGTTTGCAGGACATTGACATCGTAGGCGATTCGAAGGGGGGATGCCCGAGCGTCATGCGGCACCCCGGTTCCAAGCAATTCGACTACGCGGCTTGCCTACTTTTGGTTGGAGATGAACAGGGTCATTTTTCGTTGGGGTCATCACAGCGGGTACGTTAAGAATTTGCTTTGTCCAAGCACCTAAGAAACAAAAACGGCACCAAACTATCATGTCATTCAAAGAACTTCAAGTATTGTCAGTGGATTGTTGCTAAGCAGTGCTAAAGGGTGCTAGAAGTGTTCCTACCTACCCTCAAGGAGAGCGCAAAAAAACTTTTGCATGTGTAGCGGTGTCCATATAGTACACACATGGTTTTGCTTGAAAGAACCACATTGTTCATTATGAGGACCACCTGCAATCATGCTTTCTTTGCAAGGAGTTGAAGCAAGGAACCATGTCTGGGGATGTGAATGGACTGCCTAATGGATTTAGTATGACTTGTTCACTCGAACACCGTTTAAAAGCCAACTTGTGAATTGCGTTGGACTGCCTGCAGAACGCGCAGGAAATCCTCCAACACGTCTTGCTTCCGATTTCGTGTCCACTCGCCCCACATGAATGTGCCGAGGAACTGCTCAAATGGCGGGCCAAAATCCTACACAAGGTGTTCCCTGGCTCAGAGCCCCTTCGACTGGTTCTCTATGAGGCGCCTCCGACGCTGGGTGAGTTAGTGTAGGGACCAATATCTGTAAACAAATTTGTTTTGCGCTTCATCCGCTACGCAGAATTACTTGTGAGCGAGTCACTGTCAGTATTGGACAAGATCGGTGTTTGGTTCCTAACGGGTTTTGTCAACCACTGGTGGCACCTTTTGCGTCGCCCATGGCCATTACAATCTGAGCGCAAGGCGTTCAAGGTGGCGCCTGTAGAAGCTTTTAAATAGAACAGAGGATGTTAGATGAAATGTTCTACCAAGTCGGTTAAGACCTTCCACAACGGTGATATGAGGTTAGATGAGGCACTACATTTTCAACTGGGTTGGATAAGGCCTTCCACCAGCGTTAGGCTAACCACCCCCCACACTTACTATAGATGAGACCTTCTGCCAGGGTTGGTGAGATCCGCCAAGATTTTCCAGTCTAGCCCACCCTCCGAAATAGTTCATATTCCAGGCTACCTCAAACGGATTGAAACAATCCACGGCTGATTTGACCTTGAAATTCCTGGTTTTATAATGCAGGTGAATCCTTTTGGTAGAGTTCTTGACCTCATCCCTGTGGAGGCCCCCGGATGTAGCAAAGGCTTCATGTTTTGAACGCATCCTTGGTGACCTGCAATAGGAAGGTACGGGCTCATGGTGCCTGCCACGGGAAAGATGATTGAGTTGGCGAGAACTCTCAGGCGCGACAGCGCTTGATCCTTCAGGCCTGCGGCTGGTACACCGGGACTGGCTCCTTCAAGGAATCCTATCACCTGGTGTGGCCGGAGATCCTTGTAGACAAGGAGACGGCCATCGCTGCAAGGACTGGGATGATCTCCGACGATCTGACGCCCGAAAGGTGTTGTGAACGCTGATCCTGCATCCTGTGCAACTGTTCGAACCCGGAACGGCTCGATCCACGAGCTTGAAAGTCGAAGCTAAGCTATTGCAGGTTTTAGCAGGGATATACGTGGTATTATCATATATAAGTTTTGACCACCAAATAAATGAAGAGAAACGACCTAAAACACATCCCGTCATGCTGTGCGTCGAGGAGGTTTACGCTGGAGCACTTTGAAGCGTGGTCTTCGGAACAGGAGACTGTTTGTGGAGCACTTTGAAGCTTTTGTGCTTAGTGTTTAGGGAATCTCCCACGATGGAACTCAGATTTCTTGCCCAGTTTCTTCAAGTGACCACATCAGCTTTGGGAGCTGTTGGCCACCTGGTACGGTAATACTGTTTCGACATGAGTCTCCAAGCAATCGGACCGCTTTGGAGCGGGGCGACATGACGATGTGCAGAAGTGTTTACGTATATTCACAGATACAAAAACCATTATTACAAATGTCTCTTGGATGGGGAACTCCATGAAGTGAGGGTCAACCGATCTGGGCATGTGGGTTTTCATGGGGGTGTTCATCATTTACATGACTGAAGGAGTTGTGTTCTTTCAGAATGGATATATATATATATTTATTAAAGTGCATTTTACACACCCATCTCAAAGCTTGAGCTGAGAGACTGAGTGTCCGCCCTATCTTTGCTGGTCACTTGTTGAATTTGCCTGTCTTGAAGTGCTTGAGTATCAAAGGCCTCTTGAGGATACATTAACTAGCTCTCGACCAGGTGAAGAGCACCGCTCGAAGTTCTCTCAATCCCGCTTGCGCAAAAACGGACATCCCATGTATGACATCAACTTTTGATTCGCTCATCCCCGAAAACCTAGTGAACACATAGCTTAGAAGACCTGCTGAGCCATGACCATGTGTCTCGAGTTGTCGAATGAGGAGCACCGCTTGTCCGAGCTCTTAGAGAAGGCAGGAAATAAGAGCCGAAGCGTGATGCTTGTAAGAAATCGTATATGTTGGTATTTTTAAGGTTGGTGCGTGTCATCGCTGATCACGATGACTACTCGATGATTACGTTTCGATCAGGGCAATGATCATCAATGGTGAATCTCAAGTGGTCGACAGTTCATATGAACAAAGTACTGTGACAGGCACAGAAGTTCTCCCCGAAGAACACGTGGGAGAACATCTTCGACGCGACCACCACGCGCCCGACGGTGGGTGCTCGGATGCCCTATTCCGAACCTTAGATGCAGAGAACTTGGAACTCTTTTTATTTTCTCATGCAAGACCGCCGGTGACCTATTGATGGACAATTCATTTTGTATTCATTGCACCACTTGCCAGAAGCCAGTTCCGACATGGTTGATCCAGTGTGTTCTCGACGAAACAGATGATTCCCAGGGCCCAACCGTGGTGCAACAGCTTTCACATTACTACCAAAGCACGAGCGGATGCGGCTGAAAATCATGCAGGTTTAGTTGATACTTCCTCTGACCATTGGCCAAGAGTCACCATTTCTACAGAGGAGCATGATGACTTGTCAGTGTTCGTTCAGAAATTCAGCTTTCAAGGGTCCAATAAAGTCCGAGTCTGTCACTGTGGTTGTCACTGAGCACCTCTTCGGAAATACCATCCTGCGACGGGTCCGGTACCGTGTGTCCCTTTGGAGCATGCAAAAGCTTTTTTGGGGCGCTCTTCTTCGACGACTTGAGGACAAGAGGTCAAGAATGCTTGACAACAAGTTCAAGCAAGAGAACCGCAAGGCGGTCGGGGACCGGACGGGTCGAAAAGGCTGGTGGTGGCGCCTGTCCCGAGGCCCCAACGGCGGCCCAACGGGTCCAGTTTTGGATTGAAACGGGTTGAAACGGATCATGGGACGTGTCAATGGCCAGCGAAAAGGATCCTGAAATAAGACCCATTGCATGTAAGACTCACAGAACGTTCCGAGTATGTCAACTGCCAGAACTTCCACAGTATGAGGGCGACGGAGTTTCACGGCCAGGTGCTTCCAGTCGCAGAACTGGTTTTCCATTTCGAAGAGAGCCAGGAGCTGCCCAGCGTGCAGGTGGTGGCCCATGCGGAGGTGCCAAGGTCGTCGCAGCGGCCGTTCCCTGCATCCATCCGCGGGGTTTGCTGGGGGGTTGTGGTTTAAGCCCCTCTGCACCGGCAAACGATCAGTTATATACATGAAAGTTTCAGCACGTTTGCTTCATATGTTTCATGTTTGCTCTATTCCGTTACAAGGGAACAAAGATGAACATCACCAGATGAACAAATGGTTTTGGTGTGTGATTCTTTTCATTGCGTTTGCTGCACCCACGAGATTTCGAGAGAGCACCAGCTGAGCCGCTTTAATATCCAGCCTTTACATCTTAAGTAAGGACCTTGTCATATCGAATTCCGCGTAAGCAAAACCCTGGGTTGCGTAAGATTGCGTAAGCATTTCGTGTAAGCATTTCGGAAGTTTGCTCTGCGTAAGCAAAAGTGAGGGCGGCGTAAGCAGCGCGTAAGGCCTCGCGCAAGGAAAGTGATACGACATAGGGAGTGACTCCAGGTTTTTAGAGTGGCTCAGCTGCCTTTCATCGTGACTTCATCATACTTCACCAACAGATGAGAACCTAGTTTGCTAAGGGTGCCATAGATGTTCAGTGTCGGCTGTCATGACATCCAAGGTAGGTTTCTTTGGGCCCAGGGTTCTTTTTCGATCATCCCTAAGTGGACTTAGATTCAACAAAGGATACACACCAGATTATATATTTGATGTCCAACCGAGCTTTACAAGCCAACGCATGCAGATTCTGGTGCGAAAAGTCTGGACCTCCCAGACCCACCCAACAGAGGCATCACAACTTTGGTGTGCCCCAGCCGATCTGACACTAGGCGTATGTGGATATGTCCATAGCTTTGTTTGGAAACCCGCTCCTTATGAACCGTCATCCACAGGGGCGTCCTTACTAACCAGCTTCAACCCTTGCCATGCAAAACGCGGTCGCGTCGCACCGGCCGTCAGGGGAAGAGTCACGCCGAATGGGCGCAAGCGCGGCATGGTACGCCGCGCGCCAAACCAGCAAGAGAAGTCGTACTGTCCGCCTGGCACGTTTTTGGGCTTTTGGTGGTTGGGCTATGTTCAACCGCTACACGTTTGTTTGAGCTGTCCGTGAATGCAGAAACGAGAGACGACGGAGATCAATGCACTGATTGTTTTTTGGAAGATGGGTTAAGTTGACCGCAGCCATATTGGATTGCGATACTGTAGAATGATAGAGGCCAAATGCAGCTGTTAAAAGAGTTCACATCAGGTTTGTAGCGGCCTTTGCAGTTCCGAGATCGATCCAGCTCGCTGATTCTTTTCATTTTTTGGCCTTTTTTCTTTGGCAAGTTGTGGTCTCAACAGGGCATAAGAAGCACCCTGAATTAAAGCGCTGACTATCTAGAGTTGTCCTGCGTAGGTATTAAGAGGTTGAAGGGTCTTGGGTTGCAATAATGAGTGTGTGAAATTCGGAACCTGGATACCTCGGTGTATTGAACGAACTTAACCTACGCAATTTATCTTACTATGGTTTCTACTTGTAGTTTCTAGAACTTCTGTTTCACCCGCAGACTCTCCAAAGCAACCCATGCCCGAAGACCAACCTCTCACAGCTTCGTCTTGTCCCACACAGCTCCAGGCCACATCAAAGTGCACCCTTACCAGCAGCAACCTCGAAAGAAGAACGGCATGCCAAGCGGCTCTGGCGGAGGAAAAGGTGGCGGTGGCCGAAGAGGCGGCGGAAGTGGTGGCTGGGGAGGTGGCTGGCCAAGCTTGCCACCATGGAGAGGTGGCAAAGGAACCCTGGTATTGCATCGTTGGTTTCATTGTTTGCGTTTGAAACGCCCGTCGTTTGTCTGTGCGACTCCCACCCTTCATCCAAGGAAAGGATGGCAAAGGAGGACAAGATCGAAAAGGGGGAAAAGGAGGTGGCAAGGGTGGAGGAGGGATCCCGGGTGGGAGGGAGGGGACCAGAAGGTTCATTCTCACCTCTCAACTTGCATGGGTCCCAGTCCAGAGAACTTTGTCATGAAGTGGTTTACATATGTTTACATGTTTTATGGACCTGGACCTGCAAAAGAAAAAACGTGATTGGACGAGTCAAAGTCAAGGTTTTGAGGTCACTCTAGGATGGAGTTGTTTTTCTGTTTAACTCATTGAGCACTTGGGTTGAAGTCTACGCTTGGAGGCGTGGTGATATTGTGACATGTTGAAACCCGCCTGAAAAAAGGCTTCAGCTTAAAAGTGCATATATACTGACCCGGCGGCCGGATGAAACCGCGTTTGGATGACCCGACTTTTCAGGACTTGTTTGGATTCACAGACTCCCCAACAAGAGACTTCTTTTTGGCGTATGTTGTGCGATGCTGTAGATTTGATGGCTGTACTTCGGCGTGACTCTGGTGACGCGATTGTGCATCTTAGATCTTGGGACCTACACTCCGATCAACGTGGAAGTAGACACCTCCAGGCCCATTCCCTGTAAGTGACTCGGAGTTTACACACATACACTCCCCCTGATCCGAAGGAGGCGGCTGGGGCGGTGGCGGCTGGGGCGGTCACGGCTGGAGCAGCTGGACCGGCTGGGACGATGAAGACGAAGGCGTTCAAGTCGAGTTGGCGGATGCAACAGCTCGGCTTTTTATTGGGCAGCAGACATCAGATGAGGGAGGGCATTTGTTCCTTTTTTTGGGGGGGTTGCGTTTAGGGAAGTCTCAAAATAAAGCTGGGGCCCTTAGATGGGCCGCCTGATGAGGGCGTGGGCGCCCGATCGACATCCCCTGTATTTGTTTACTCCAATGGAACCATTTTTTTGCTCTGGGCGCATGCTTAAATTTGAATCAGAATGTGTCGCCCCAGTCCAAGAAATCTGAGCAAACCTGGCAGATGGCGCACTTGGAAGGCCTAGATCTTGTTCACCAGCTTCCCATCGACATGGATAGTTCGTTGAGCAACCGCTTACGACGACCTTTACAGACGATGCATTCAACAAAACAACGCCTTCTAACACTGGGCGAACTGAAACAAGGTGAGTCCGGGAGGTTTATGAAAGAGGGAATCTTATAAAGCTGGTTGTTCCCAGTTTGTTTCCAGATGTCATTGTCATGTGGAGATCGTATTTTTTTAAATATAGTGTCCCGATTTGTTGGTGCTCCTGGCTGTTGCCCTTTGCTCGTACCATGCCTGTCAAGAGCATGACTAGTGACTAGTGACCTCAAACTGGAACATGGGGGGTTTAAGATTTCATAAGGTGAGGATTGATTCATGCACCCTCCGCCCCTTGATACCCCGAAGAGGGGTTTAACTCTTTGCTGTCCAAGGGCTTTGCCACGCAGGCGCCGGGCGCAGCCGCACACCACCGGGCCGCGGTGGGAAGCCCTTCGATGGTGCGCCACGGGGGGGGTGCCAGGGCCGGCAGGGGCTGACCCGTATTCCTGCGCAGCACCAGAGGTCCGCAGCTGAGGCCAGCCCTGAAACAGGGTGGCCTCACGTTGGTGGGAACATGTCGGAGTTGAGATAGACAGGGATGGATACCTTGATATCAATCAACTAGACAAGGATCCCCTAGTTGGATACCTTGACACCTTGATATCCGGTTTGATTTCAATCAACTAGGTCACATCGCCACTGGCCACTGTTGCCAGGCACCGCTGCAGAGTTTGCCGACGTGATCAAGGCAAGGGCAAAGCCCAGTCACACGTTCTGGCAGTCGCTTGGTGCATGAGGCTGGTGGGGGCCTGTGGATGTTTTGAGTTTTGGTGGGATTTTCTCATGGGGGCCATGAAGCCTATGAATGCAGTCTATGAGAGTCTATGACTGCAGATCCTGTTCCTTCTTGTATCCTGCGGCTCTGTGGTACAGCGCCCAAGACCAGTTCCACCGATTTCATAAGTAACAAGCGCCCTTGTGTACTTGTTGTATAGCTATACAACTAGCACGTTCTATCGCTATACAACTAGCCAGTTTTAGGAGAACCGCAAAGGAAGGGTTATATAGATAGAATTGTTCAGACCTCTTGCAGCCAAGTATCCAAGACCTCTTGCAGCTGGAATTGGATCTTCTGCATGGCAGCCATGATCCAGGGGGGTTGACGTCATCCATGATCCAGGGTGAAGCGTCCTGAGTCCTGGGTTAAATGGATCGGACACCAGGGCAGGCATAGAGGCCCCCAGCTGGCAGGCTGTTGCGTTGCGGACCCAAAGGATTCACCAATTGTATAGCTTCCGGTATGCGAGGGCCATGAAGTGCCAGGCACAAGTTGCCCAAGTGTAGTGGACCCTCTTGGGGCTACTGAACCTCTGCTACCGAAATAGATAGAATCCTTCACAGCAGCAACTAGATTTCATCAAACCACCATCTGGCACAAGCCCAAGAAGAGATTTGCTTTTAGAGGTGCTATCTAATGTGAAGGAAAGGCATGGAAAGGCAACGTTTTGGATTGTTTGTAGAAAGCCAACCGAGCACTCATATCTATTCACTCCATACACTCCTGTACAGGGGAGATGGCGATCGCTTCGTGCTCTGTGCTCTGAGGAAGCGCTTACAGGGTGGGATTCAGCTCGTTTTCCAAAATTATGGGAACATCAACTACACTTCGGAAGGAAGCAAAGCGCGATGCTCAGGGCCAACACAGGCACTTGATTCACTTGAGTCTTGAACATCATAATTGGTCCATCTTTTGGTCCACTTCAAAGCCCCAAGACTTCGGGGACGGCAGTGAAGGTGAAGGACCAGCAGTGCGTTATTTTTCAGCCTCTAGAAACCTGCGGATCAGCAGTCCTGGAATGCCCCAAAGATAGCGCTGGTGCTTGCGAACAAGAACCATTCAGTGATTCAATCGCCCCTCCCACAAAGACGTTCACATGATGGACGATGACGTGGGTCATGGAAGATCGTTCTCGTCCAAAGATCCGTGTTCGTCATCAGTCGGGAAGAGTTGAGGATTCTGAGCCTTTGAAACCATAAGAGATAGAGAGTTGTTTCGTTTGTTCTCGCTTTAGGAGGGTTCAGTCTTGCAGTTGGTCCCAGCAAGCCATCGTGTACTTCCTTGCTCGAACAAAGAACATCATGGCCTTCATTGCTCATGACAAGTGCAATCGGGTGTCTCGCGAAGAAAACCTGCCAGCAATTGGCTGGAGAACTTGTAACCCCCCAACAAGCAGCGTTTTTGCCCCGAGAAGGTCGAGAAGGCACAGTTGCTGTTTTTCAGACCCCCTCCATCCAGCACAACCGGTTGTTGCCTTCTGTTGTTTAAGGCGATCTTGGTCCAGGGTCGCCGCCGTGAAGAACTACTGTATTTGGTGGAGGGCCTGACGTCTGGCATGATGGGATGATTGAGTTTTGGAGTTGGAGTGTCCAGCAAAACTAGACAGGGCGGAGCTCGTTTCGATTCGACCAATCACTTCTCTCTTTGTGGTTTCTCCAATTTTTGTAGTCTTGTGGAATTTCCGTGCTTGTGTCTGCCATGAACACAGTGCAGAGTGATGATAGCGGGTGAGAGGGTGACGCAGGATTCTAGAGCAACATGCCCAACCATAATGAATGGTATAGTAACGTATTACAACTACATCAAATTGCTAGTTAATAGCTTAGTTAATAAGTTGTTGACTTGCTACTCGTAGTCCCTCGGCCTCGTCGAGTAACATGGTCTGGTCGTCTCTTCCGATCTTCCGATTCGGCAGTTGGACCACAGTGTGATTTTGCATTGTTTCACTCTGAACCTCATTTGTTGCTTTACTCAGAAGCAATTATTGTCAAAGTTCAATTTGTACCATTAAGGCCAACCATTTTGTTTGTGCCTGAGGACTTGAGGACCTGAGTGATGACCTTACGATTTGGCGTGCGTCGCCAGACCGTAACGTGTGAAGCTGACACAGAGATCAGAGAGGCTGCGTGCCAAAGTGTGCCGTTCGTGAGGGTCCCGGGCAGGTCTGCCAGTTGGGTCACTGAGCAACTCAGCGAAATTTTCGGGTGTTTTGGTCATGGCGGATTCTTTTATTTTTCCTCACCTCCCTCACGGCCCCCGAATTTATGTAGCAACTTGTGGCGTATGTTTGCAACAACTCGGATGGTCCATGTTGTTGAGGATTTGAGGGAATCCTGCCATGCAAGTGATGTGAGGGATGGACAACTACGTGACTGACGATAGTGAACTTGTTAACACACTTTTTGTGGGTCACACTGATGGTCCCCTGATAACCTCACGATGTTGTTGGTCCAGAACTTTTGAGTCCACCTGGATTCAGCAGCGACTGTGGCCATGTGATTATGTAAAAGCATTTTAATCACGTAGCAGATATGCTATAACGATGACGATACCTCCGTTTGCGGTTTCTTTCTTGGCTCTCGATTTGAGAAAGAGCAACTAGGGTCCTTGACCATGCTTGACCGACAAGTGAACATCGCCGAATGCGAAAGGAAGTCAGCGCAGCATTGAACATCACATAATATAACCCTCCAAATAGATAGAAACGTAGATCCCCTCTAAACATGTATTGGAAACTGTTCTATTTGGGGACCACTAGGTGGTTTGGTACCACCAGCTCGCAGCAACTGAAGAAAACGAACACGCACTGAGATACCTATATGAGCCGTGAAAAGTCGATGCATCCAAAGGGTCAAACGATCAACTTTGGCATTTAAGAACTGTGGACTCCCCTGCGATCCCCCAGAAATTGTTCAGCAAGAACATCTAAGAGCACCTAAGATACCCAGCAGTTGATGGGTTCCAATCCCAGCAACGGTCCCGCTTCAGCTCATTAGCGCCTCCGCGCGAGACGCGTCTCGCGGCCATGGCCATGCGCAAGCGTCTCGCTCCAGCGATCACGGTCCGGTCACGGCTGGATGGATCAGGGGAGTTGTTCTTTTACAGGTCATTCATCATATGAGTCATATGATACAGTAGTCATATACAGCAATCAGTAGGCTGAACATTGACCAAAGGAGAAGTGCGAAACCACTGGGTCACAGCTTCTGTTGTGGGGTCCCTCTTGGTGGAAGAATGGGACCTACGGTCGAAGTTTTTGGGGTTCGAAGAGGAATCACTTGCCGGTTCGTGCGGGGGTCCCCGGGCCGGTATTCACTCGCTGAAGATCATCCCATTAACTCGCTGAAACCAGCGTGGAAGATCCTCAAAGTTCCATCAAATTCCGATCATCAGCAGAAGGAAGATAGACTAACTATTGGGTTCTTGAATGCTGATAGGTGCACAGTTGCACCTCAAAGATCCTAAAATACCCTTTCATCGTTTTGCAGTGGTCGCTTTGTTGAATAGCAGTGGTCTGGTGGCACTTGCCCGGGTGTTGCAGGTGATTGCAGGTCGACAGCACTCCTTCGTGGCCAGTGAGGCACTTGTGGAGAGTCCCCGGGGTTGTGTAAGAGATACTCTCTCCTGAACTCACAAAGCAAACCACGAGAGGGTACGAAAGCGTGCTTTTTGTCTTCCAGGGTGCAACATGCGGGATGCTTGTACAATCATCCCGAGTGCAACACGGTAACACTTCAAGACTGTGAGACCTTCCTGTTTGCAAGTTCTGTCGCCCGCCCTCCCACACGCAATCGATCCCCTACAGCTTGGGAACTGCTTGGGAGCGTGCATGTTCACATCGTTCACAGCATGTTGCCACGGGAAGCATTGCCCTCAAGGGACGGCCCAGACGCAACTCTTCGGTCCTGTTTTGCATCGGGTGGATGTGTCCCTGGCCGAGCCGAGCATGTGGTTTTTGTGCTTTTCCATCTGTGGCTTCTTGTTGATGGATGTTTGAGATCCGAATAAAATCCTGCCAAAAGAGAAGGACAGGCGTGCTGCTATTGTGAAGCGCTTCCAAACGCTTTGTCTTGTTTGGACAGACCTGACAGCCTTCTAGTAGCCTTTAGGCACTTTAGGTAAACACCTGAGCCCATTCCTGTAGGGAAGGTTCAGGCATCATGTTCTGAAACATGGTGAACTCGACCCCATCGGTCACCTGCACACTGGCCACAGGCCACATTGGACATTATCTTGCAGTGCCTCGGCGAACTGTGTCTTGCGGGAGGAAGAGGAGGTAGTAAGCAGTATAGACTAAGCACCAGTTCAAGCCTATAACCATTCAAAACATATACTATAATATATATATATATATGTATTATATACATACACAATAGATAGAATAGTAAGTTTCTTGGGCCCTCCAACTCCGCCGATGACCCGCATTTCTCGGCCAGCACCCGGGACGGACCCCCGAAATAACACTTAAGGGATCATTTCCATGACGCCCCCCGAACAGGTGTCCCTGGAATGTAACCAGGCATATCCACCGAGAAAGGCACCGTCCAGTACAAAACGAGACTTGGGGAGTGGTGTGGATGGGTAGCACTGCTCCACGATTCGTGGAGCTACCCATGAACTCCTCCGTGCCCGCCGTCCGTGCCCGGTGTAGAGGTTTCCAGAGGCAAACATCGTGAGACCATCTAGGACTGACTGAGAGTATCATCGGCTTGTGTTGTGTTTTTGATCCTCGCAATTTCTGAAAGTCACTTTGTGCCGCATCCACCTGAGAAATCAATGGACATCTCCCAAAACAGTGTTGTGTGACTCTCAAATGATGGCATTCAAGCTTCTATTGGTTCATCTCATTGGCAAGGTCAAAGCCATGGCCGAGCTGGTTGCGGCAGGAGTGGAAGTCGTTGAGGGATTTGTTTTTTGATTCACCCTGAAAGGGTTTCTCAGCGGTTCGAATGATGGGATGGCAATCGGAGTTTGCAGTCCCCAATATGGTGTTCTTGCAAGCACTTCAGGATCTCAAATCCCAAGGAAGGCATACCATAGCCTGACCGCAGTGGAAGAGCTTTAGGCTGTTTGTCTTGTTGGTGAGCATTCTCTTTGAGTGAACGGTGAAGGAAAAGGGTAAACACTTTGCATTTGATGTTTTTGTCAACTGGCCTACGCCAGTCGGGACGTAGCCGAGCTTTGCAAGAATTTGTCTACTTGACTTGAGATGGAGAACATCAAGTCAGCTATCAAATCAGAGCTACAAATACCAGGAGACTGATTTGGGTGCGCTCATTATTGGTGGTACTGGTCAGATGTGACTCGTGACATGTCAAGTCAGTCTATCATATCCACTCTTTAAAGTCAAAAAAAGGCTTGGCCCTTTGAATTCGCGGAGCCTCGCTTTGACTCGCTGCTTGACTGCTTGTTAAACAAATGCCATATCCGATTCTCCAGGACCCGAGAGAGAGCCTTGAGACCACGAGCATATGGGTTGCTTTCTATATGCATTTAATTTACAAAAGCACATGCAGAGCAATCCAGGAACCATTGAGTTTAAGAGGATTTGATTTGATAAAGTTATTAATTTATTATATATTATATATTTCATTTGTTTTTAATGCGCCGGATGCTTGACCCCTTGCGACGGCGTCACGTTCTTTTTTTGTTCCACAGGAGATGCGCAGCAACTGGGCCGGCGAGACTGGTGCTGCTACTTGGGCTTGCAATGGTTTTTGTCCACTCATTGGTGGGAATTTTTGAAAGACAAGCAGCTAAGCTTGTATCCCACTTCTGACCATTGCCAGCTTGTAACTTCATGGTTGACTAGGGGCTTGGGACTGAAGATGACCAATGAAGTAGTGTTCTTGGGGCATCCAGTTTTTCGTGAACAACACTTTTGGGTGTTCCTTGGCCCCAGCCATACTTGTGAGTAGGGATGAGTGCGCTCGTATCCAATCGTCATAGAATGACCCTGATTGATTGGATCAACATTGGTGTTGGTACTGTTATTGTTGTGGTGTTCTTTTTGTTCTTTGCACACCCCGTCAACTCCACCGAGCCCAATCCACGTCCCGTTCCGAGTTGAGCCTGATGTGTCCGATGAAACATCCGTAAGTTATTCGGATGCGGCGCAACGCATTCTGATGTACTCGGATCAAGGTATCTCAAGGTATTTGTCCATAGGAGCAGGCGTTCCCCTTCGATGTTGTCGGCATATTGGCTGTTCGTCAGTGTAACTTGGTATGGCTGGTGCTCATTGTGGTTTGTCGAATTTTGTCGATGACCTGACATTTCCGTTATCATTGTCATCTCTTCACTGTTTGTTACATCCACACCGCCACCGCAGCCGTCATCGTTTCGCAGTGACCTCGCCTCCGCGAGGTCGCCATCTATCGGGGTTGCCAAAGTGCTTTGCCCTCCGTGGCATGTCGTGCGAAGCGACACGAGCTGCAGAAGTTCGTGGAGGAACACGTGGCACGGGAACCCAGGGGAACCCAGCACAGGGCAGGTTTCTATATATATATATATATACAATATATATAGAACAATAAGACTAGCCAACTATTGGTTTAACTGGAAACCTGCACAGGGCTGGTTTGCCTATGCAGTTGGCGAAGAACATAGCTTTCTATATAGATCGGCTCAGGTGACAAACTCTTAGGTGTTGGGCTGGTCATTGAATCTGACACTTATGTCTTTGGCTATAGAGCCCCGGACCCTCTTTGGGTTGCCCTAAACAGACATGGAAGTGGATGGCATGTCGTGAGGAAGACTGTTTCCCCCCTCTACGAACAGTGCCTGTTTCTGTCAAACTGGGACATGGAGAGTAGCCGCTGGTGTTTCAGGAGGAAATGGATCTCCCAACCCAGCTGAGGCCTCCGAGGAAGCACATTTGCGTGCCATGGAGTTCTTAGTCTCTCAGCCAGGCGTGTGACACGTAGACGTCCGAACGCATCGGACGCTGGAGGATTTTGATCAATGAAGTACGGTCCCGATTCCAAGTCCTTGACCCTCCCCTCCAAAGAAAGAGGTCATGGTCAAAGACCATGGAGTTCCACCAAGATAGGGTGGGGCACGTTGACCAGGACCCAACTTTGGTATGACTCACGGGCACCATGAATCGCCAAGGTCATCGGAGACGGGGCTTGGGGGCTGTTGTATCGTTGATGTGATGTTGTATCACACTGATGATTCCATATATGCATTAGATGCTTCACATGTCGCACATCTTACAATGTGATAAACGATGATGGATGTGATATGATGCTCTTGGAAGTTTGACTCGATGCAATCGATGTGTGGTGGGTTTTGAATATTTCTTTGCCAAATTGGGTCGTGGCCATCGAACACATGTTGCCATTCTTAATGCACCGAGCTTGGACAAAATCCAGCATCTTCAACCAGTGCTGACAATCACCGTCATGGCATATCATCACCTGTTCTGCCTCCTCATGGCGACGCGTCTCCGCGTTCTGCCCGAAGGGGAGCGCAGTTGGATGCCGGCGACGGCCTTCGGATGGGCCCTTGGCTACCTCTCCACCAAGGCGGAGATGGGACGCCGTCGGTCTTGCGTCTCGCGTCCGCGGACTGTACCATCCATGTCCAATAGGCACCCTTGGGGCTTTGAAGAAGCCAATGATTGGTTGCCCTCCAAAGGACTGTGGTGTGCCATCATCCCTTACTTATATACCAAGTTTAGTGGAAGGCTAACACAGCGTTCCCAGGTCACATCATCAAAACGGATTCCGCTTTGGTTCTTACGAGTCAAGCTAACATAACATTAGGTACCCATCTGAGCTCGGGGGGGTTCGGCTTTTGGAGTTGACATGAGTTGGATCACTTCAGCCCCGAGGTTGACCTTTGCCTTGAGACCAAGGCCATACGTTCGTCCGTAGGTCGGTCCCGACCGTTTCTCCACAGATCTGTCTGTGGCTTTTGGGGTGCCGAGGCCCGTGGCGAGCACGGGATGTATGTGCCTTGGAGCGAACCGGTTGGCGGGATCTGGGTGGGACGGTGGGTTCGCTGGAGGGGGGAAACGGGTGGGGGAAATTCGTTTTCATGAATCCCAGGGAGTGGTGTTAGGAAGATTCATGACGCCCTGAAGAAAAGATGCATCTCCAGAAAGAGCAAAGTGAGATGTGCAAGTATCAACTCCCTGAAATCATCATGGTTACGTGAAAAGACATCACTTGGTTGGCCTGTTTGGTAGATTTCATGGTCATCCTTTCGCGGCCACGCCATCCGCTTCCATGAATATTTCAGGAAATCTTAATTATATAAATGCATGGGTTTCGCTCTGGGTTTCGCTATGTTTCATTGGATTGGTGCATACTGGATTGGTGTTTCACAGTTTTTCCCCAAACAGTTTACTGTTGGGGTTCTATCTTAGAAAGAAAAGAGCTGGCCACACTCACTGGCCGCGCCCCTGAACTCTGTGGCTGGGCTCCGTGGCTGGGCTCTGTGGCTGGGCCTTGTCCTCCTCTTGTCCTCCTCTTGCCCGCGCGGGGCTCTGTG